GAGGCCATTTTTATTATTAAATTATGCAAAATAGAGATTAAGAATGATTTCTAAGTTAAGATTAAAATTGTTTTCTAGCAGTATCATTTCAACTTATTGTAAACATTTTTTAAAATAATAAGTTTGTCATACCTAACAATAACGTTTTCTCTTTTTGATTTTTTTTCTTTCGCTTCTGTAAATAACTTCTTACAAAGGTTTGCCATTTCTTGCGAGAAATCTTCATTTACGTAGATGTTTGGCTCTTTTTGTTCTTTTGTTTTTTTTAGGATATTTGATTTGTCTTTGAATCTCAATGATTTTAGGAATAATAGTGGGCCTAATATTGATCCCTGGATAACACCACAAGTTATAATATGTTTTTCTGTTTCATTTCCTGAATATATTATATATTATTTTCTGCTTGACAGGTAACTTTTAAACCATTTTAAGTTATTGTTTAGTATTCTATACAGTTCTAGTTTTTTATAAGAATATCATGGTCAACAGTGTCAAATGCTTTTGACAAATCAATAAAAATTCCTAATATATAATAATCATTATTGAACCTATTGGATATATAATTTATTAGCTCGACTAGCGCATGATTTATTAAATGATTCTTTTTGAACCCAAATTGTTTATTATACATTATATTGCTCTCAGTTAAATAACTATTAAGTCTATCATACATAATTCGTTCTAACAATTTTGACAAGCATGGTAAAACAGAAATAGGTCTATAATTTGACATCTTTGTGTCATCGCCATATTACAAAATAGGTATGATCAGTTTAGACTATTTAGGTACCCAAACCATTTAGGTACCCAGGCCATTTAGGTACCCAGACCATTTAGGTACCCAAAGAAGACCTATCGGTCTTGTCACAGAGCACCACGAATGTGCATTAAACTAGTAAGTTCACGCCTTCTTCCTCACCGTGACGCGAAAATATGTCCAGAGCTCGTTTCTAACCTGAATCTCCTGCTTCTAAAGCAAGCACTTTAACTACTGCGGCACGGCCGCATTTATTTGAACACCAAACTAATATTTTTTGTGACATTTATGTAAAAAAAAAAATACATTTGGAATTGATTTTAGTACGTTTTCAAAACATTATCGGTTACAGAAGTTAAAAATGTACATTCTAGTTTTAGAAATGCCTAAAAAAATGTAGAAAATATTTGTTTTCTGGCTAAATGAAACAAGCATTGTATTACTTTCTTCTTTTGCTTTAAAAGAAAAGACTACAAATTCATTACAAAATAAATTTATTTCAATATATGCTTTCCTAGGTAAAAACATCATTTTGGAAAAATTAACAAATACTTAATACTTTGATAAACGTCAGTTCATTTTTTTTTTGTATTAGGAGTTCCGGAAGAAATAGGTGCAGTTAATTTTTAAAAGAGATAATTGAAATGGCAGATAAATGGAGTAAAAAATTCCAGTCAGGTCCGACACAATTGCAGAAGAAGAATTTTCTTTGCGTGCAGTTAGCCTCTGGCAGTTCTATACCGTAAATATAAAATAAAAAAAAATTAAGAAATCATAACACTATATAACAAAACATTTTTTTAAAGACATTTTAAATAAAAATCATAGGTTGTAATGTCATACTTTAACTTTGTTAAACAATTTTTAGAACCTTTTTTGTTTTTAAGTACTGCTTGTAAAATGTTTTAAATACAAACATAAAATATTCAGTATATATTTATACAATCTTTATTGTTAAAAAGCATTTGGAAAAATGCGCTGAGGATTCTCTTTTAAACTAGTATATTCCTTGAAAATCTGGAGTATATTTCATAATTGGGGTAAGGGAACTTGAATCTAGGCATATTTAGTCTTCATGAGTGGTCATGACCCCTCAAGTGGTCATTTTAGAGGTGGTTAAAGGTAGTCTTGAAATATCCAAATAGTTTTTCAATTAGATGGTACGTGTTAAATGTCTAAATATAGGTAATAGAGGTCATGAAAATCAAATCTAGGTATATTTGGTCTCCGGGAGTGGTCATAATTGATGAAGGATGATCCTGGGATGCCCCAATGTTTTTTTAATTAGATGGAACAGTTTAATGTCTAAATAATTGATTATTGATAAATGAATATATAATAATTGGAAAATAATAATTGATAAGTAATTAAATAATTGAGGTTAGGAAACTTAAATCTGGAGTAGTTATGACCGCACTGGTAGGTGTGGTCAAGACGATTTTTTTGTTATTTTATTTATTTTATGTACATAATTTCTTTAATATTATGAATACAAACATAAAGCGTTTAATAAAATTGAATTTTGTTAACATTATTTTTTTATATATATAAAAATCTAGGTGATGACATACATCATATATTACAACAGAGAGTCTTAATGTACACCAAGATTCCCTTGGCCTCCTCAACTTGATTGGAGTCTTTAACTAAAACCTGAAAGTATTTTCATCATAAGATCATTGTTTGTTTGAGGCCTGTTGAATTTCATTGTGTAGTGCTCTCTGTTGTTTTAGTGCAGAATATTAATATTATCGTGTATGAAATGATTATTTCATAGACAAATAATTTACTGTTTTTCCATTTTTTGGACATTATTTAAAAGAAAAAAGCACATTTTACCCACTTAAAGTACAATTTTTTAGATGAAAACGGCGTTTTAAAACTTTATTTAGACGACATTAAATCTAAAAGTATTAGATGATGTAGTTTTCTCGCCTTCAACACGAGAAATAAAAAATAATTTTTTCTCGCAAACAAACTAATTTCTTTTTACTAAACTAAACTTTTATTTATATATAAATAAAAAACTTTTGCATACATAAATACAAATAGTAAATCTTCTCTTCCATAAATCATCTTTTTACAGATGTTCATATAAAGTTTACTTATTGCAACAACTACAAAAATATTAAAAACCGCCTAAACATAAAAAAAATATTTACAAATAAAAAAATCTTTTAAACTAAAATCACATAATCATCATAGAATGTTCCATAACTTTCCACAATTTTTAAAAAGGTTTTAACAAAATTTAAATGATTAAAAATCTAAAACCGCGTTTTCTTGAGTTGCAAAATCTACGATTGGATATCATTTATAATAAAAAGCCTAGCACCTACTGCGTTCAGCTGAGCTCAGAAAATTTGATTGTAGATTGTTATCTTTATATGAGAGTGTAATTAAAAGTTGATCATTTGTATGGCCCTAATACAGCCCAGTGTTTTCTGCTTGTGTAAAGGTAAGTGTTAAAAAAAAAGGTTGCGCATATTAAGGGGTTTTATTGAAAAACACTTTGAAAAAAAGTAGGTATAGAAAAATAAATTTTCATATTTCTTTTCATTATTTCAATATATGATGTCGATGGACTAATATGTATCAAAATTGTTTTACTAGCCTCACATATCTTTTTTATTTTCATTTTTTTCATTTTCACCAATACTTGAAAAATAAAGTAATGCTATTTTTATGGTAAAATTGATATATTGAACTCAAAAGTCATAGTAGGGAAAAAATTATATCAGTTTTAGAATGCTAGGAGTCTCTAGGTTACATTTACAAAAAGAATTCATTTTAATATAGAAGTTGGTTTTAAAGGATTTTGCTCACCTCTGGCCCAATGTGCACAGTGGGCCAGGAGGAAAAATTTTAAATTTCAACGCAAGTTAATTGAAGAATTTGGTTTGGTTGTTGACATGCCTAAAGCTAATGGCACTGGCACTAGTAATGATGACAACACTGCAAGTTGTTTTTTTAGGGATTCTAAAAAAGTATCTAACATAATTAGTTTACCAAAAACTTGTCTTGACAACTTCTTTGTGATCCTATGTACATTATCCTGTTGTCTAGATGTTGATACTGATAAATTCCTAGAGTATTGTTTACAAGTTGCTTGCACGTATGTAAACTTATTTATATGGTATTACATACCAGCAAGTATTCATAAAGTTCTTTTTAATGGTCATTCACTTATAAGAAGAATGTCTCTTTCAATAGGCATATCATCAGAAAAAACTCAAGAACCAACAAACAAACTTTTTTTAAAAAATCGTAATCATTTTAGTCGTAAAATGTCCAGAGTGAAGAATAATGAAGACTTACAAAGACAACAACTATGTTCATCTGATCCATATATTAGCAGTTTGAGAAAACCAGCACCAAATTCTAATAAAATTCAACTTCCACATAAAGCAATTCAACTATTAAAATTGTCAAGCTTTAAACATGATATCTAAGTTATACTCTTTATTAGAACAACTTTGTTATTTTAATTTGAATTAATGGGCAAAGGAGATGAAAAAAAATTTCTTATATTTTTGTCCACTATCTGGCTTACTGTGCAATGTAATCAATGATCAAAACAGTTTTGTCCACTATCTGGCTTACTGTGCAATGTAATCAATGATCAGCTATAATGAAAAAATAGTTGGGTGAGGTACCTACCGTAATCCAAGTAAGTATAAAATTTTTTACTACTACTACTACTACTACTACTACTACTACTACTACTACTACTACTACTACTACTACTACTACTACTACTAAAGTTCGAGATTTGGAGAGGTTTTTGGCTCAAACAAGTGCGCCAATGACCGGAAATAAAGTTCGAGATACACAAAAGTTCGATACATCGAGTAGTCAATATATTGAGAGCCTACTGTACTACTATTTTTTTTTATGAATATTTGAATACATAAGTATGATATATTTCATTATTAATAAGTTATTGCGTATATACAACAAGAAATAAATATATTATTATTTGCATTTTTTATTAAAAATTCTTTGCGTTTCTCAAAATTATAGAATACTTTTAAATTACATGTTAACGTAGAATACTAATTTAACTTTAACAATCATCAATGTTATCCGCTTAGCTCATATAAAACATGATTACAATACTGCGATCGACAAAACAAAATGCTTGCTTTACTCTGAAAAAATATATAATTAAATACTTAAATAGATATTACCATACTTTAAATAAATAAATTTAAAAAATCATTTTTATCTTTTAAAGTTTTCGCTAGCAGTAAAGAAGTGCTTTCATAAAGGCATCTAATGTAATATTTTCTTTAAATTCATGAGTCCAACGAGAAACAGAAGTGAGTTTGCATAGTATTTGTATGAAGTCATCGAGACTTATCAAGTTTTGTTTATTGCTGTATCGAAAATATATTGCGTTTAAAGTGGAGTTTTTTACTGGGATTTTTAGTTCATCAAAAACTTTTTTCAACTCTTCTTTGTCAATCATTTTATCTTGATTTATATCCGATTCCTCAAAACATTTTTTCCATTCCATTATGTTGAACCAAAGTCTTTTGAATTCGTAATAGTTCAGAAGTCCGTCTTGGTTCGAATCTGCTAAAGCAAGAATGCTTCTAGTCGTTTCTAGACTGAAATTTTCTGCAATTTTTTCTTTGAACATTATGGTCAAAATATTTTGAAGCTCAAATGTGTCTATCAATTCATCTGATCCTGCGGTTTTATAAAATAATATCCCTAACTTTTCAATGAAACAACCTTCTCTTTCTCTGTTCAGTTTAACTGCTGAAGAATCAAATGATTCTTCACTGAAATAATTACTTGACAAGTGCGAAGTTGCAAAAAAATTGGCTTTGTCGTTATCGTATTCGTAATCGCTATTTGTTTTGAGTAGATAAACTGCAATAAAGTCATCTTCTTTAATTTTAGTTTTTTGACTCATTGAAGATTCCATTTTAACTTTCTTCAGAAATATACAGTCAATTATATAAAAAAGAATCGCCCTCTTCAAAGTACTGGTTCGCAGATTGTATTAATGATGTATATCGACAGCGTTATTTATGGAGTATTCGATGGAAGAAAAAAAAATAAATAAGCGGAAACAAACATACTTAAATTAATTTAAAATAAAAATAAAAAGTTTTTGGTTTCCCTTGCGATTATTTTATTATTTAAATTTTAAAACGAAAGTCGTAGAGAAAATATTTTAATAAAATTAGTTATTTTTCATTAAATTTAAAATTTAAAATATTATAAAGTGCTAATATTTATATGTAATGCCTTTTATCACATCTTTATTTAAGGACTTGTCAAACATACTTTAAAAAAAATTTTCTTATTAGCAAGTTTGTAAATATTGTGTCAATTGATTTGGCAAGGAAATAGTCAAAATTCACATCGAAAAAATTGGCATCATACTTATCAAAATATCTTAGAAAGTGTGGCTTGTATTAGTGTTTTATAATAACGAGTAGTAATAATGGTAGAGAAAGGGTCTATCTAAAAAATAACAATATAAAATAAATTCTAGATGTGGGTAAATCACCCTTATAAAGTGATGGTGGTGATGGCGGGAATATTTGTTTAATCCAATATATAAACTATCAGACTATCAGTTTCGTAAAATATAAAAAAGTAATTGATTACAAATGTACAGCAAAAAATATAAAAACAAACACATTTAATGACTCTTAGTCATTATGATAAAAGTGTTTTTAACCTAAGTAGTTTTTCTTATTGTTTTTAAATTCTCATTGAATTTTAAACACTTTTTTTGAAACACTGAAAGTTTATATATATATATATATATATATATATATATATATATATATATATATATATATATATATATATATATATATACATATATATATATATATATATATATATATATATATATATATATATATATATATATATATAAATATATATATATATATATATATTTATATATATATATATATTTATATATAAATATATATATATATATATATATATATATTTTATATATATATATATATATATATATATATATATATATATATATATATATATATATATATATATATATATTTGCAGTGTTTATGCATTTCGGTAATAAATGGCTTAAGGTTTAGAGGCCGATTTAAAAAGAAGTTGCTAGAACCCTTTTTATACTTTGAATCAAAATGTTCTATAGAGCCCCTTAAAAAAGTAAGTCTTTTAAAGTTGGTAAGCTAACCCCTGGCTGAGAATCTATCTATGGACCTGCTAACCACAAATTTTATAACGAAATAAAAAATAATAAAAAAAATAAGTTTTATAATGAAATAAAAAAACTGAATGATTATTTGTTATAAACAACGTTATAACGTCAATTTAATAAAATGCACAATAGCCAAACTTTAGAGATTTTTAAATCCACGCTAACAAAAGAAAAAAATGCGTCATTTTTACATTCACATACAAATTCAAAGCATAACGGATATTAAACGTCATTCAACTTTTTCTTTTTAAATCCATACAAATACTTTTGGTGTATTTATAGAATTTAATTCCAGTGAAAGTCACACAGTTTGATGAAGACAAAAATAGCGTAGTATATGAGGAGCCCATTTGCAAAATGCGCTAAGTCCAAGTAAGCTGATTTTGAGAAAAAACGAAAAACTAAACTTCTTAGTTGCGCAACAACAGATATTGATACTTTTTTATCCATTTTTAGGACCAAAACTTTTTAAATTGAATATTGAAAATATTTAAATAGATCATAGATATCAGTATATAGAATCTGGAAATAAAATTAACTCAAAATTTTAATTTTTGTGATTTGGCGAGTTTTGCATATGGGCTCCTCATATAATATCCTCTCACCCTCATATAATACTCATACTGATACTCATACTCATATAATATCCTTCGCACCTAATTAATGACATTAAAATGTTATTAAAATATTATTTTTTAATTTTTATTAGAGCCAGAGCCAAGAATGACGGAGGAAACAAGAAATTAATTTTTCTTTAACATGTATTTTATATATATATATATATATATATATATATATATATATTAGAGTTATGACATTTTCCATTATTAAAAAGCTTATTTCCTGTGTCATAAATTGATGAACTTTTATTAGAAAACATTGAAAACATGTTCAATTCCTTTCGGTTGTAAAAAAAAGGTCACCCTGCAATTCAAATTAAGTTTTGTCATTTATTTTATCTTGTTACTGCTACTACTAATACGTGTGGCTTTCCTGCAAACCATTTAAAACTTGTATAGATTAGAAGTGTTTAAAACTTTTGAGCATTTTGGAAAATAACAGAAAACTTTAGAAGGCTTTAGAACATTCTAGAACAATTTAAAACATTCTGAAACAATTTGGAACATTCTGAAATATTTCAGAACATTTTAGACTATATATAACTGCTCATCTAATTTTTTAGTTATTACAGAAGCAACACATGGCGCCGTACAAGACTAGCAATAGTAGCATTCAGAAGAACAAGGGTGTCTGGATCAATAATCTGGTAAAATTTGAAGACTCTCATAAAAGACGAAGAATGGTTCCTTCGGAAGAATATTCACTGGAAAAGTGCAGAATGTCTCTCCAAAAGCAAATTATCGGACACTACCATTTCCTTGGACCAAAAAGGAAGAAAGGAGCTAATAGCAGAAAATTCCAAAGAAGTCACCAAAATGTGGAAGAATTAACTGAATTTTTCTAATGTATCTGATCACGTTATATGAGCAAAGTTTGATAAAATACTGAAATGTTATGATGAATGTGTCAAGCGGGGAAGCTACGAACTCCTTGATGAAATTTTTGATATTACTAAAGTGAATGGAACATTGTTATCTTCCGAGGACAAGCGATTATACCATCTCCAAGTGGAAAACAAAGGAGGAGAACAAGTGGCATACTCTACAAACCGAGCGGCCAGTAAAGAAACAATCCATCCCTCTAAAAAAAATTCTCTCTAATGAGTCATCCAACTCATCATCTTACTATCCTGGTTTTAGTGATTCTGACTCTGAGGCTGACGACAGTGAATATGAAAACAATGAAGAAGAAAATGAGGCAACTCCTAGACCAAGCAGAAAACATCATAAAAGCAAAATTACTGTCAACTTGGTGACATCTACAAGAGTATCAACAAACAAAACTGCTAACATATGCAAGCAACCGGCTTGTGAAGGCATTGACATTCCAACTCCATGTCAATCAGCTATTTACAAGTCAACAATTAAAGAGGTAATCAAGCTGAAGGAAGAAATGATTGAAAAGTTGCATATGGTAAGTTGGTCCTTACACTTTGATGGCAAGCACATGGACAGAATAGATTATCAAGTGGTCGTCCTTAAAAATGAAAGGAGAGAAATCAAATTGAATGTCCTTGGCTTGGTAGATGGCAGGGCTTTAACTATTACTCAAGAAGTTCTAAAGTCCTTGATGAATTTCACTTATGGAATTCAATGCAGATGATTGTTACAGATACCACCAGCTTTATCACTGGAAAAAAGAATGGTGTTGTTGTAATATTGCAACGAATGTTCATAGAGAAACGCATCAACAAACCTCAGTTTATCAGTGGTCAACACCATGTGTTAGATAGAATCATCCGTTTGATGATCGATGAAGAACTTGGAAGTAAAAAAACAATCGCCAAACATCAAATATCCATTTGTATCTCAACTGTTTAAGGAGTGTACGAACAACTATAAATACAGTTTGATAACGGAAAAATAAAGTTTGATAGAGGTACGCGCCTGTTACCAGTTGGGCTTTTGATACAACCAATAAACTTCATGTTTGCTATTTTTTTAAAGCAGGTCCGCCAACTAAGATTTCTTAGGGATGGGCAATATCCCTGGAAAATATAAGAAAGGGCGCAGCGAAGTGTACATCAACTTTACATAAAGTCTATAACTGCAATTAAATTATAAAAAAATGAGCAATAGAAACATTTTTGTGTACTTTTAACTCGTAATTGTGTATTCATTGGTGTATATAAAACTTTTGAATATGTAATATTTAATTAAGAATATTAAATTTTTATAAATATTTTTTATAGATCCTTTAAAATATTCTAAAGTAACAGCGCTAATTCTGTACATATAATTTAAACTTGTAAATTTGTAAGAAAAGATGCACTCAGAATAAAGTAAAGTATTACGCTAACAAAGTAGCAAGATGATAATATGACTTGTCTCCTGGTTGCTCTGTCGTTTAACTTCAATCAAGATTTGCTAGATTGACAAAGCAAGCAGAAGGCAAGACATCTTATCACCTTGTTTCTCTGCTTGCTTTGTCATTTCAATTTAAATAATTTATTTAATTTTTACAAGAACATTGTAAAATTATTTGTTCACTAAAATAACTGATTTAAATAGAGATAGGAAGTATATACTGTTGGTTTATGAAAACAATGAGCGTACTTATTAGGGATACTATATACAAAGTGTACATACAGGGATAGACAGTATTTATTAGGGATAGACAGTTTATTAGGGATATAGTCAAGACTTAAATCCAAGATAAAAACTAAGATTAAGACCAAGATATTTGGGATCAAAACCAAGACTTAAGACTTCAAAACCAATACTAGCACTAAGGCCTAAATAGTATAAAAAAATAAGATTAATTCTATGAATAGTTTATAAAATAAATTAAGAGCAATCAATGAAAATCAAATTAAGAGCAGTATAAGTTTCCTTAATTTGATATCAAAGCTTTCCAGTTTACTTTCCCAACGAGCATCACAGGACCTTTTAAAAGACAGATTTGGTACGTGTTTCATGAAAATTTGCCATCACATTGCAGACGAAGAAAAAAAGTACATAAATTTTTTGCACAACAACAAAAAACGTCAATTATTTTTCCCAAATTAGAAGATTAAGGTTATGGTTAGCCCAAGCATGTAGAATGCCTTTGGATTTGTTTGCAAGATCCGTGCCTGTTCTCCAGAGTGG